ATATTTTTATACATGCACGTATGCATGTATAAAGGTGATCCTGCTAAGCATGTCTTAAGGTATCAATGTATCTGGTGACCTAATGGGAAGCACTTGTCGTGAAAGCTATTAATGTGCAGAATGCTGTATGATTGGGACGGGCTCAAAGTAATGCGATGCTGCAACTGCAGTTACTGCCAAAAAAACACCGGCCCTAATATCAAAAAAGGAGGGAGGCTGGCACATGCTGATCAGCAGATATGGTAGTGGTCACAAATGTGAATCGCTCCGATCAGTAGGACAGCAACATGCATTTTTTGGCATCTGGAGAATTAGACATTAGTCTGGACCTTTGACAAAAACAGCGCTACTGCACAAAGGAACCAGCAGTGATCCTGAATTAAATCAGTCAGTCAGGATAATTCAACGACTTCAACCTCGCTTCCGTTTGTTTTCAACTTGAAATAATGTCCAAGATTTTTGTTAGTCTGGATCCTTAACAAAAATAAAAAATAAGGATCGTACAGATCTAAATTATAAATTTATAAAGTGCTTTTGCTCCTACCATCTACAAGTCTGTTAAGCTTTTGTTAAGATGCTAACCTTTGGGCCCTACAAATGTTCGTGAGACATCTTACAGGTCAGCTTGACCTACGGGTTCTAATCTTCCGGATCTTTAGATTCACTTCTCGCTGAAATATCACTTATCTAATTCACGATAATCTTCTCATTTACGCACTGTTATGCTCCCTTTTATCTTAACTATCTAGGCCTTTATTAAAGCAAGTACTTGCTCTTTGTTCATATATGTTGCTTGCTTAAAGTCTGGCTGCTTTGATTAAAAACGCAACGACACCGATGTTAGAACAAAGCTATATTTTTTTATGGAAAACATCATAACTTCCATGCCTAGACCACTATGGTTAGCGTTAAACATTGCAAATGTATACTATCACTCCAAGGAGTCCCCACCTCCTTATTGTATTTATCTTGTAAATATACTTCTAATGATGTATTAGCTATAATCATATTTTATGCCATTTTGCAGTTTCCCAGGACGTTCTCCTCTTCCTGAAATAGCCTTTAATCACTTGGCAGCATAGCACTTACCCAAATTTATGCTGTTCACTGGTTGACCATGGCTATCAGCAGGAAACGGAACGAATTTTGGGCTGTCGCTCGACTTTGATGGTGACCTTAGTGAAGAGTTTACAATTTAACATTTGTAAGGATCTGTTCTGATTACTTGTAGAATAATCGAACAATTTAAACTTTTGAAAAAGTATTAATTTATGATACTTTAGGATTGTACTCTATAACATAACTGATCGTGCCTGTGACAATGGCATGCATTTCTTGTAAACACCAGTTTATACAAATAAAGTTAATATTAATGCTCAGTAAGCTAACCTGTATTTCTCAAAAGAACTTGCTGAGTCAGTCACAGCAACTATAGTATGTGTGTATATCAAACAACAAGCTACACATAATACATTATACTACTTCAAGGATAAACCTCGCCTCGAATTCCATGGACTTAGTTCCACTGACGTCATCTTTGGTGTCAAACATTATTCTTTGGTTTGTTCCTCCCTTTGAATCGATTACGGAGGAACGTTATCTGTACTCACCGGGGTATGATTTGCTTATGGGAATAATTGACTGGCCCATCTATGTGATGAAATATCTATATGTCTGCAGTGCCTCTCCATTGGGCCTTGCGTCATTTTATTTGTGAAGAAGTGGGGTTTCATTTTTAAATCAACACCTGACGGAAACGTAACTCAGTGCAGCACTTTTCCAAGGAGTATGAAAATTGTAGCTTTTTGCTTTCTTAAGACAAAAGGAAAATTCTTTACACGCATTTTTCTTGTTTTGATATTTGCCATTTGCATATAGTCCACTAATTATTCGTCAGCCTTAGGTTAGCAATTTATAATCGAAGTCTATCAGTATGCGTATCCTGGTCAAGTTTGTTCTTATCAGAGCTAGGCTCTGAAAACCACTCCTACAGTTGAACGTCGAACATCGTTTTGACTGATTCTCGGATACTATGCATAAACGTTGGCTGGATTTCCGTCCAGTGAGTAGGGTTAGAGTGAGATATTATTGCAGCCCTAAGTTGTTGAAGAAAGCGTTCTATCACCGTATTGGTTTGAGAGTAATATGCTGTGCAGCCAATTCTGTGTGATCCGAGGAACTTCGAAAATTTGTTAAATGACTCTGACTCCAATTGAGCCTCTTGATAAATTTCTATTGTTACATGCGCCCCCAACAAGGCTAGTCAGTGGTGAAAAAAGGCCCATGCTACCTATTTCGCCGTAATATTGCCAAGTTTTGCAGCTACAGGGATCCCATCTTCCTACCCCTGCATTCAGCTGATGTTTTTCAAAATAGAACTTAAATCAGAAGTGAAGTTGTTCAAGCTGCTACGTTCCACGTAGCATACGAAAGTTGAAAATAGAGGGAAAGAAGGGCTCAAAGGTACTGTAATAAGCGGAAATATAATGGAGAAAGTATATTACGCGTGAATCCATGATAAGGGATCTACCAAGTCCACATTGGTGTGGATGAAACGGGTATCCGGCTGTGAGAATGCTCCTAAGAGTGATATTGTGTGTCTGTTCGCCTTTGCCCTCTGGCATGATACGCACCCTCTCGCCAATCCCTGCACTTCATGTTGAAGGTTTAGCGAAATGTATCTTGAGGACATTATTTTAACTGACACTTCTTCTCAGGAGCGCGATGGCGAGAGGAATCATTCACTATGGGTTTTCTCACAATTATATGGGTTGTTGGTCTGGTGAATCTTTTGTTGTGTCGTAGTATACCAAGTCGACATCTAAAGGGGATGGTAATTGTCCAGGTTTGGGACCAGAGTTATTTACAGCGACGACGTGCTGTAACTCTTCGTCGTTCTTTTGGTTTTTGTCCAGTGCTTTGAAATCTGTAGTGATTTGTTGCACTATATTCATGTGTATTCCGGACAATGCATCTGATACACAGCTCTCCGCTCTCTTCACCTGCAGATATCGCTGACAAATTGTGACGTGAAATGAGGGTGACCAACCTCCCCTGGAGATTATTTTCAGTTATACTACTCTTCACTGGTCCGTGATTACTATTTAGGAGCTGAGTGGCATAATTTCTTTTGAGTTGTTCAAACATTGAACAACCTTTATTTCTCGCTCCACATGGCTAGATGTTTTTTCATGAATCTGAAATCAGTAAAAACCTCTTTGTGGGCGAGGGAACTGAGCGAGTTTCAGTGATATTCTGTCAGTCTTTGTGAAGTCCATTCCATGAGACTCTATAAACGACAGCTAACGTCCAAAGTGGTATTCGAAAGCTCTTCATCACAATCGTATTCATCCTAATTCGGAAACTCTTTAATGTCTTACCTGGGACCACACTAATTCAATTATTGTACTTATCCTAGAATTTGAGAGATATATAGCACAAAAATCCCCTGCGTTATGTGGGTTGACACTTGCTGAACGCCAAGCACTCACCGAATATGTCACTGTGGTTACGCAGAAGTGCACACAAGCCATCCATTCAAATCTGATGAAATGTCTGAAAGTCGAAGTCGGACGAGGATTTCTAGAGAACCCTACTAACTTTGAGTTCAGTCATGCCCCAGTGACTATGCCACACACCACTTGAGGCCTTATCCGATGTGAACCTAAACATAAGCAGGCTATCTGTATCTATAGAGTTTGAAAATTTGACCAACCAAACTAGTGGTCTTGTCCCAATCTGTGAAGAGGAGTTCGCCTTGGTGGGGGGCGCTGAGTCTAAGTTCTCTCACCTTCTTGATTACTTGGTAAGGTCACTGAGAATAGGCGTTGCTACACCTGTTAGTCTCAGTATTACCACTTCACCAGTCACAGTATCGCTCCAGTTATGTAGAGAGTAGTCTGGCGTCATGGCAACCAAATCCGGGTGGTTCAACCTTGGTGATTACGAAAGTATCCACTTCTGTAGAAACAGGATTTTTAGAATCAGTTTTAATGTTTGGCAAATGAGGCATTACAGTTGCGGAATTCTTAACCTATTTGACAATTTTATTACTGAACAGGAACTGAATATTCATTGAACACCTAAGAAGTAGTTGTTTCAGATTAGTAAAAAGAATTTTGGTACACAGCTTTCTTCCTTTCCGCAGATAGGTTGGACAGTTGCCACCAGAGGTGAGTTAATGAACAGAGATGAAACATCAAAGGATGCCATATATTTTTCCCTTACGTTCAAGCTTTTTATCTCACCAGTACGCAGAAATGTATCCTTGACGCCACTCTTCACTAGCTGATCACACAGGGACTGAGATAGCTGTATCAGAGACTTCGCTTTGTTGTGATAAGTTGATTGAGACGTGCTTAGTATGGAACACAGCGGTAGTCCCAATTTATGTACTTTCGGCAGGCCGCTGTCATTGTGACGGTAAATATTACATTTTATGATAGTTAGAATTGAAGAGAATTTATTGAAAACATTACTCTTCGTTCAGACTGACTTTTAGTCCATAGCTTGAGAGTGTTTCAGATTCTTAAGTCTTAGAAACAGTTCAAAGAACTGCCATATATAATCTTTGGTATGACCAATCTATAATTCGAGGATCGACCTAACAGAGTGGTTTTCATCTTGTAATATCGATGTGAAGTAGTGGTCCCTCACATATTCATTAAGTCTTGGGAGCAACTGCCAGAAGTAGTGGTCTGTGACCTCAGTCGACTCGTTCAAGAAGAAAAGTGACAAGCGCAGATGATTATTATAAACATTTTAGGGTAGACATAGGCTTTATAACTTCTATCACCAATCTTAAACGTGAATCAGTGAATTCAGGATATTAATGATTACTGAGATATCCAAAACAACATATCAAATACAATCATAAATCAAATTTTCACCAAATGGTAAAGCAACACAGAGGGACACTCAAAACTAAATGATGTTTCACCTTTTTCTCATGATCCCTCTTAGTTAATATCCTGCCTCATATTTTTGGAAGCTTAAGAGAGTTAATACTATAAAAGATAGGAAAGAACTTAAAAACTTAAGGTTCTCATCTTTATCCTTCCTTAGTATTCATCTTCTGAGTAAACAATGCTACTCAATCTGCTACTCTGTCAATTGAACGGCTACATACTTAAACTAACTATTTTGAATGTTACCTTAGATGGTGCGTTGTTTGATTCTCGTCAGCCTGATTGGTTGATTGGTTATTTCGCTTATGGATGTAGTTTGTCCCTTAGGAGATGACCTCATCAATGGTACGCACGCTCATTTAGTCATTCATTTTTTTTGTGGTTATTATTTAATGTATTCTTTATGAAATTTCCGTGAAAGTTCAGCAGACTGATGCAGCTACATCATGTCCTAGGACATCATACCCTGATTCACTAAATGTTTAGTGCATTTTATTTTGATGCATAGGTGACCTTTGATTGTTGAAATATAACATATAATGATAAATGGGCCGTTATTCAGCTTCTTGAAAATAATTGGCATATTGGCTGACTAATTCTTGTGGTTTTCACGAAGACAAACATCGCAAAAGTTAAAAGTAGATACTCGGCATCCTAACCTTATCAGGGTTAACTCTGCTTTTTGCTTTTTATAAGGCCTTTGTGGGAATCCCATTATGTACTGAGCCACAGTATACCATAAGATTGTGTATTGTTCTCCTAATGACGTTCATCTAGTAGCTGGACATGTTTTATTGTATTTTTTAAACACTGTTGGTGTCTCTCTTTTTCGAGTCGATTAATGTTATGCACTTGCCTCAAGCTGTGAATTAATCTCAGCAATGATGTGCGAACCGGTGTATGAAACTATCGCGCATAACACATTTGCGAGTCAATGATATGTATAGAAAATTTATATAGAAAATACGAGTTAATATGGTTTCCATTCTCGATCGTTTTAGTTACCGTTGAAGCTCATATTAACCACATGGTATCAGCATACTAATAATAAACCTTAACTTATTTTCCATGATTATGTTTAGATGTCATCCCGTTTGGTGGAAACGGTTATGATAAATGTCGATGACTTTGCTGACAATTTCCTAACTTGTGGTACATGTTTCAGTGGCTACAATTCAAATGAACGGGCTGCCAAGTTACTGCCTTGTTCTCATACTATTTGTCGATCTTGTTTAGACCGAATTCTGTCTAATGAGGTGAGTATTCACAATTTTTTATAATCCTTTTTATTTTGAAAGTTTTGTGGCTTTGTGTGGACACGTTTAAGTGCAGCGTAAGCTTTGAACTCACCAACCATTTCCTTCATTTCGGTATGGTATTTTCCAGCATAGCAGATGTCCAAAAGTGGAGGGACGTGGACTCGTTCTTGCCAGTTTCTTTCCCTTTTTAAATTGTCAGATCAACACTCGTCCAATAAGGTGTAGTGTTTGAGTCTATTAAGACTGAAACGTTTTAATTTGTGGATTAAGCACTAACGGGATTACAGGTAGACTCTTAGCAATGAATCTTGTTTGAAGATTCATTTACAGTCCTTATTGTAAGCATCTTGCGGAGTATTTCATTAATTAGGTTAACGTTAATATTGGGCAAGTAATTTTTATGGCATTGTTCACAAATTTTAGTCTTATATTACGTTTAATTCTTATTTTCTTTTCATCTTTATAGGCTCAGTCTGAGACATTCCGTTGTCCGATTTGCCGGGAAAATATTGCTATCCCATCTGGTGGCGCAGCTTCTTTCCCTCCAGCCTTTATTGTCAATCAGTTATTGGATCTACTTGCAACTCAACGTCGTGACGTTGTACCCAAGTGTTGCATACATCCATCTCAAGAGTTGCTGTTTTGTGAAACTTGTGATATTGTATTCTGCAGTGAATGCCGAGGTCGTAATCATGCTGTTCAAAACTATGTAAATGGTAATACAGAAATATCAACTTCACTAAATGAAACTGTTGACCCCTTAGATCCATCATGTGTAGGAGCTAGTAATGGAGATAATGAGACTACTACACCAGGCGAGAGTTCATCAAATGCTGGACTCAACCATAATGTGATAACCTTCAATGTTGCTCTGAAACGCTGCTCAGAAATTATGCTTTACAAAATGCATTTATGCATTCAAGAGTTAAACTGTGCTCAGCAGGCTGTATCAAGCGAACTAGAGCGCCTTGCCAATAACACTAGTTCGTGTGTTGAGGTAAGATGTCACCTGGTTCCTTTCTACTTTACATTATTTGAATTTTTAACTATTTGTGGATTATTTTTGTATGTTTAAGCAATAATTCTGTATTACGCAACAACCACTTGCAATTCCATGCAGTTGGCAGTGAGTCATACTTATTACTTAAGTGCTAGTGATACTATCTGACTCCATAAACCTCGGGAGGTTAAGCAGGTCTCAGACCCGTGACCAGATGTCTGGAAGCTGAAAAACTATACTAATGAGCCGTAGTTCCACCTAGGAAACAGCAGTACAATTCGGTGTACACAGGGCACTCATTATTCCATCCTAAAGAGTTTTTCAGTGTGTAAGACTTATTACTAGTGAAGACAAATAGCGAAGTCGTTATTAATGGCACCCTGTCTTTACGGGTAACATGTACTGATCACACTACTTGGCTACATTTGGTTACTGTCTCAATACTATGTTCAACGATACCTTTTTAGAGTAATACATTTGTTTTTTCTACAAATTTTAGCGTACCAATAAGTCCAATTAAGAGGGCTATAATTACGAAATTGTAGGTTTCATGACTTTGGTTGGTTTTGTCAGCAATAGTATAACGTCCCTTAAATATGATGCTTCAGTAATGATACTCCCATAAATGTTGCGTTTTGATTTCTCTGCAGTTGGGTTGAACTAGCTGTACAATATTTCCAGCACTTCAGTCCTCTCCAAGGGTTTTTTTAATGGTAGAGTTCCTTAATGTCTAATCGGGAATGAAATGATTGATATTTCTAAGTGATTGCCTCATGGAAGTCAACTTGTTATCATTTGTATATATGGAACATTAAGAGTATTCCATGTTTTTAAGCACTTTTAGGAGACAGGCGATCAATGTTGATCTCATACACACTAGGATGAATTTTTTATCTACTCTTTTCTTTCTTTTTTTCTCGTCCTCTTCGTTCATTTCTGAACACGAAACCACTTTTTCTTTAATTTTTCGTCTTATTTTCCCAGTATCGTTGTACTTTGCGTTGTTTAGGTCTAACTCCCATGTTACTTTCACGCCTATAATTTATCTGAAATAATCTTGTTATGCCAGTTAGCTGTTAAATATGAAATTTTAAGTGTTCATTCAATGTCAGGTCTAAGTGACTGGTGATCAATGACAGTTAAATGCAGCTTTCTTTATATTTTTTCAGTATCTGATTACTAGTCGTGTATTTTATTATTTCATATTTAGTCAATAAACTCACGATTTTCTGAGATATTGGCACTTGTTGAACATCGTCAAGGAGAATTATTGGACAGTGTGAAGCGACTTGGTGAAGAAAAACGACGTGCGTTGACCGATCAACTTTCATTAATTGAAACTGAAAGAGATTTAATTCGTAATGAATGTGATCGACTAAAGGGTGTGGTAAGTCTTTCTCACCGTTTGATTTTACGTGTATTCAATATTACTGTAATGTCATGAATTTCACAAATTCTCGGACTCGTTACGTCATTCTTAGGATGTGTTATACACGTACTGGTATTATTCATTATCCACTTGATATAATTATTTTGTTTTTTTAGGTGCATACAAGCATATCTTACCATTGAATTGTCTATAGGTTTGCTACGTTTCAAATTCATCTGTCAAACAATTTGATTTACTAAGTACTTACAAGTCCATTCAGTAAGGTGTTAGTCACTCTTGATTCCGGGGCGGTAAAAAGAGGAGTGGATTCATCTTGCAGGTTAAGTCTTGCAGCCAAGTAATTATCACTCACAAAGTACTGGTTAAGAGGGTCAAATAAAAGAGAATAGGAATATGTCGCCATCATCTTAGACCCTAACTTGGCATGTTGGCAGGTGGAAAAACACGAATAGTCACTTGTAGGATATTTGAATGTATTTACTTGTCGGGGGGAGTGGATGTGTAAAAATAAGTATATTTCCAGCTAACATTTTAATATCTTACTTCAAAAGGCTGATTAGAAAGCAAAGAATATTCTTTTTGACAACTTTTACATCAGATCCTACATTTACGTGTCCATAATAATTAAAGAACTATTGTTATTGACATTAGCCTTTTTTAAATAAAATCGAATTATTGACATCGAAATTCCAATAGGTATATGCAAATATATGGTAAATAGATTATGTTTCAAAACATTTGTAGGTGATATGCATAAATGTAACACTAAGTTGAACATCAGATTTCAAAAGCAAGTAATTATGAATAACAACGAATATATAGTATTGAATTCTCATGACCAATGTTCATGTTGGATTTTACTTATATTGATTATAAATTTAATATGGATGAATGATAATATCCAAAATAGGGAGACGAAATAGAGTAGAAGGTTACGTTCCAAGTGGAACATAGGACTTCAAACTGTAAGCTTTGAAATTTCAGCAGCAGTGTTGTTTTTACGGGTGGAATTGCTAGTCTCATGCCCAACCTACCCTCCAGACTTACTATTGGCTAGTAAACTAGGCGAGATTTTAAGAGTGCGTCAACCGGGAATCGAATGCGGACAACGTGCGTGCCTGCCGAGCCTTTTAGATCTGAACCAGACCCAAGTGTAAGTGAATTACTAAAGATAAATTTTAAGAAAAACAAAAGGTTTGTTTACGCAAGTATAATATTGAGGTTTGGGAGGAATTTATGCATACACGACAGGTCATACCTAAGAGGTGTAACATAATACAGTATTTATGTATTAATGACTTCCAAAACAGGGTAGCAACAGTGACCGGACCTGTTTCTTTTGCACTCAGAGCTCTGGTTGTTGTAAGAGAATTGTAGTGGCCTCTAGTGTTTGGAGTATTCGGTAGAGACTTTTGGGAATTTATTTGGTACCCGATGTGAACAAATGGAAAACAAGTTAATAAATAATGGGATCCTTATAGATATCCCTAAAGAATTAATGCTAAAGTGTACGATGAATGTAAATTCCAAATTTAATGGCAAACTCCTACATACAAGTGGATGACGTGGCAGTGAGCTCTTCATTGAGTATTGTGTTAGCGGATTTCTTTCTAAGTAAACTATAAAATTGTTTTTTGAATAATCTTATTAGAAAATTCTCATTTGATTGCTGATGTATGAATGATACCTTCATTCTTTATGAAAATGACCTAGATAGGCTTGAAATAATAAGTTAATTTAATGAGGTGTCTAATCCACATGTGAAGAAGAATCTCAAAGAAAAATTGCCTTTTAGATCTCCCGCTCACAAGAAGACTAGATGGTAGTAGTGTAAAAAGAAATTGCTTAAGGAAAGTGCTTGGACAGGACAGTATACACATTTTCATAACTTTGTTCATCTCTAGTTTAAAAGAAATTTGATAAGGACCCTCAGTTACAGGATCAGAGCTATGTTTTCAAAAGATGTAATTGAAGATGAACTTAAGATTGTATATGTCACTTTAACTGAAGAAAAGCTATCCAGAAAAGTTTATCTTGAAACACATGACCAAGAAAGTTGACAAGAACTGTTCTGTATATGTAAACACCAAAACGCTAAATTTGCAACTTCACTTCAGAGGTGACTTACCTAGGGGAATAATAACCAACAAGTTAAGAAAATCTTCCACCAATTGATATTATATTGATGATGTTTTTCTTTGCTATTACCATCACATGGAAATCTTTTCACATTATAATGGTAACCATGTCTTTTTCTGTGTTATTGTTTACGGAAATCATTTGACATGCGATGTCAGCAAATGATAGTTTTATCAAAATGGGAAATATCAGTAACATGATAACTGAAGTATTGTTTCCTAAAAATTTTTCTTTAAAACTTTTGGTCTCATGTAGATCTTAGTATAGAATATGGGCTAGAAAATTGAGTTTTGACTATTTTTCCGGTTTCTGTCATTTATGGTAAGATACTGTACACTTTTCTGGGTGTAGCTGGGGACGCTTTTAAGATTGCATACTTCCTTCTGACCGTCATATTTTGGTCGATGAAAAACTTTGTATGTATTGATTGTTGCATAACACAAGGTCTGAGATAATCTGACTGGATACAGTATGTAATAATAAGCTGACATTTAACACCTATAGCACCCAATGAACGAGTGCTTGATTGAGGGTTCATGTTTAAGTCGTATGTTTGTTCTATGCTCTAGATATGCTGTACTTAACGTTCGTCGGCAATGGCGTAAAACACTAAGTTTCTGAGATGTGTATTCGATCACAATAAAAGCATGACTTCATCTTCAGAAATAAAATCGAAATGAACAGCTTTTATTCATGAAATTTTTTATAATAATGATTTCCGACTCATTTATGACAGTTTACAAACATGTTACATTCCCTTTATTAGAACAGACATTAGTTGACCCCAATTCCACGTTATTTTCTTATTTCCTAACTAATTATGTGTAAAACATTTCAGGAATAAATTTTGGTGACTTACGGACTATATTTATTATTGATTAGCATGAAGAATTTAATCTTATCCGACATCTTTATTAGTTTAGTTTTCGTTTGCAACCTGCATACTCACTACTAACTGCTTCCATTATCAAGCCGTTAGTGTTTCGCACAAAACTTGTCAGTGGTTCTTGCATTCTGGTTTTTCCCGTTGTCCTTGGAGCAAATAAAAATATCTGATTATTTAGTTACTTTCCAGTTCCTACTGATCAAGTCTTACTGGGAATGACATCACTCATTGAGAAAGGTGTATTTAACTGCAGAGTCCAAAATAGAAGGAAATTTCTTTTATTCCTTTACGTTCCAAGTGGAACATAGAGCTTCAAGCTAGCAGTGATATTTATTTTTACGGGATGGGGTTGCCACCCTCATGCCCAACTTTCCCTCTTTACCAGTCTTACTACTGGCTTAGCGAGGTAAGGGAGTGCGTCGGCCGGCATTCTACCACTGTGCCACGGACGCCCGATAGGACGAAATAATCATCCTCAATTCCGTTGCTAACTACCGTCAACATCCACTAGTCATTCTATACATGAATCTCATCCTTTAACTTTTAATTTCATTTCATTTGAGAAGTGGTTCAACTAAAAGTCGTATCCGCCGTGCAAACAATATTCTAGCATGCCATTTTTATCGTTAAGCTTAGTACTGAATGATGAATTATGAGGACGTGTATATCTAATGGTGATTGAAATGCTGTAAGTGATGTCTCTACTATTTTTGCGCAAAATGTGGATCGCGTTGAGTAAAACATACATTTGATTTATTATAAGCTTTTTGTTCTAAGCACCTGCTTATCTTCAGGCAAAGAACAATCGACATTCTCATAAATCTTTTCACAATAATTATATTCGGTCAAATGGTACGTCATTTCTACTCACTAATATACACAAACGAATTTAATGTCAGTTGCATTAACAAAGCTTGATGTGTATTAGTGCATTGTTGTTCAATTGACTGTTTACTAATAGACTTTACAAGAAGTTTAAAAACCAAACACTACAGGTGTTGGTAATGTTGACTACAAGTTTGGGAGTTCTCATACGAGCCTTATTAAATAACTGTATATAAGTATCACTATCATATTTTACCTGACCGTGTTGGAAATAGCTAGTCGTAACGAGAGGCAAGCCATACTTTGATTTCCGCTAATTACTTATCGTTGTCCATTTTCCGAACACAGATGTATTTCAAGTTCAGACATACTGTTTTATTTATTTGCCCGCCAATTCAAAATTGGCGGTCTAGTATATATCTTATGAAGAATGTAGGAATTTTCTACATTTTTTTTATTTAGGATGCCAAAAACGAACTTTAGCTTTTATATGCACCATTCACAATTACACGGTAGTCGAATTTCCAATGGCAATCGTGCGCCAGTGAGATATTTGCCTTCGGTGATCATTTTCTTTATGCTGTATGAAACTGTCAGATACCTTAGTTTTTAGGAAAGATGAACGAATCATATTTGTTATGTTACATGGTGGTTCTTTGTTTTTACGCACAGCATATATTTGTGTTACTAAAATATTTGCTATGAGGGTCGTGGATGTGTATACTGAAAGAAACTTCAATGAAATCAAATAAAAACATCTTAAGAGTTCATGTATTCATTAACCTTTAACTATACTTGTATGATTTGGTTAGTTGGAATAAAACAAACTCTGTAGTATAGAGAGGTGGTATAACTTTGTCATGCAGGTCGATGCATTTACTTTCTTCCACTTTAGTTCTCCTCAAGGGTTTTATTTAATAATACATCTATTCCTTCACCACATGCTTCTTTCATACTTCACATTAGTTATGTACCGTTGTTTCTGTATTTTCATGTTGCTAGACCTTATATTTTCTCCAACTAGTCAGTTAATATTTTGTAACTTAAACCACATGTATCTGCTGCAGTTCGTTATGCAATATTATTCATATATTTTTTTTACTTTGTTTTCAGTTGGATGTACGCAGTATTACAAAAACAATAAGTTATTTAAATGATAAGTTGGATTCAATAAGTGGTTTAACTGAGCCTCGTGAAAATGCTTTCCTCCGCTATCAAGACTGTATTGGTGCAGCCAATCATCATCATCATCACCACAGAGATATATGTTGTCCTACTTCAAAACGTAACACATGTCCATCGTCCACATCGTTATCCTCAAGGAATTATTCTGTACCATCAGTTGCAAATCTTAATGAGTCAGCTTTACGATCTACTCCACCTTATCATCGTAGATCAAATGTATGTTCTTCATCAAATCTTCAGTCATCTCATTCACAACAACAAGTTAGTCTTCCAGATATTGCTCGGTGTTTAGCTGGTTTTGGTCGTTTAGTAGTCAGTACAACATATCCGGCATTGTGTACTGCTCGTCTACCAAATGAAATGTTTGCTCATTTAACTTCTAAAGTGAGTAATATCTTCAAATTAATCCTTCCAATGCATATATATTTTGTCATAGAATGAGAATGTCACGAATTCATTGTTAGTTAGTGTCAATGGTTTAATGGTTTGATCTTTAGTATTGACAGAACAAAGTCAATAGATTTTATGTGACACTTGTTGTAGTATAATAACACAATGCATTTTGTCTTCAAATGTTTAGTGACAACTAGCAAGGTATTCAGGATATGTATGCCTTACTTTGTGATATTCAGTAGGTGAAGCTTTTACTTTGAAGAAGGCGATTTTCTCCGAAATCTGTTCATTTTAGTGTTCAACCTTATTTCATTCAATTCGGTGATAAAATGTGTGAGTATGGGTTAGAGTTATAGAGGCGCAAGCTTCAGTTTTCAGATTTAACCTTATAGATATATGTTGTAATGAAATACAGATTAGTGACTTTACTGACTGCCCTCAGATACTAATCAGTGCTACTGGCATTTTGAATTTTTTCCATAGAAATTTCACAGATATTAAGATATCCTCATTTAATTATGACTCCTTCAGAGTTCTTATTTGAACTTAAGATGTGAATAAAGTTGCGAACTCATTCTACTGTCTCACCACCACTGTATTTATCTATTTTTCTCGGTGATGTTTCTAAGCACGAGTAGTTCAACTGATGTATTTCAGTCCTAGGTTCTGCGCTGACCTGTCTGTCTCCCTCAAAGAGGTATAAATCTCTAGTGCGAATGTTTTATCATCAGTAACACTGTGAAGGTCTTGGGAATTATTATTTCCAGTCATTGGAATGTGTTGATTATTATAATCCCAGTAATTTATATCATTCTGTTCCAATGTGTGTGTGTGTGTGTTAGTGAAGTCAAACTGTCTGACAATATTTTATTACCGTCTTAGAATTTATTTATCACATTTTTGTATCTAGTTCAAGTTTCACAATTGTAGTGTTATAGTCAAGTGGGTCACTTGTTTATTCTTCACATGATCCCTATTACAAAAGGAAAACATGTTTATGTTATTCTTATTGTCAATTTGTTGTTTGGTAGAAAGAGTAAATAGTTTCTTTTTTCACTGTATATTTTACGAAAGACTAATTTGTTGTAAAATACGATAAATGAAAAATGCCTTTAGAAACGTGGTCAGTATTTTCATCTTTCAGGTCTCGAATGTGTAGACTTATTGCTCATATGACAATTTTCATTGTTAACTACAAGGCTTGAATTATGTTTGAATGCAACTTGGACTGTTAAACGGTGACACTGTGAGTCTTGTGTTGGTCTCGCCTGAATGCATATTGTGCGCAGCTTGATTTCCTGCAATTGTATATATTTGTTTTCAGCTTTATGAAACAGTTTAGTGAAAACAGGCAGTAGGCTGTTATTAGTTAGGGACAGTGACTGTTTTCTTATTCCATTATGGATTTATGAAAGTATTCAGTGAACAATAAGGCCTTAGGACTGGTACAATATAATGTATCGTTTTAACCGTTACCAGTGTTTTCAGCGTTTGTCATACTTCGAATAGGGTTTCTTTTTCTTGTTGGTTAACATTTCTGACTGGATAAATATTCGTGTTGTATTGATTATAAAATGTTGATATTACAGAGAATTTCAGACGTAAAAGCATTGTTGTTTTCGCTTCTATCTCATTTCTAGACAGTTTATCATTGCTTTGTTCATTTTGACCCGATTTGACCTTTACTTGTAAAAATAGTAGTAATGTGTATTGTATTGTTGAAATTGGAAGTCTTCGCATTCTTTTGTTAAAAAGGTCGTTTCAACAAAAGGAATAGATATAGCGGTTCTGAAGACAATTTCATTACTGTGCTTGCTTTAGTTCGAAATTCTTTTTTTTCTTATAGCAAAATAATAGATTGATGAATTTTCTGGGTACAGTTTTCACTTGAAAATAAAATTAATTTGATTAATTGTAGAAAATCAAGCAGTGTTTAACATCAGGTTGAATGTCAGTTAGCATCATCTTCACTTTGTAGTCTGGTCTGTACAATACTGGATTACTAAAGTTTGAATACTCAGCTATTATTTCACTGTATGTAGTTATATACGCTAAACAGTTCCCTGTTTTTCCTATCTCTACAAATCACAGACATTTGTAACACATACAATTGGTATACATCTTTGGTTTTCCAACTTCTACCAATGTATCTCTCCGTTTGGTCGCATTCAGCCTTTTCGCCATTTTAGAGGTTGTTTGAAGGCAATGAATGCGAATAGCAGACAAAAATTTGTAAAGGCAGTTCGAGAGGAGGACTGAGTTTTACTCACTCTTACCTGTATGGGGTCATCCGTTGAACTCAATGTATGAATTTCTCAGCTATGCCTTCACTGGACACTAGGTAGTAGTTAATGTCATGCGTGTCTAGTCCTTCGTTTGGTGCACACTGAATTCTACCAGTCAAGTGTGCAATGTGGCCACCATGCTAGGTGGCTCATCATCACGATGCATTATGAATTGTTATTAGGTGGTTTGAAGTAATCGGCAGAAAGCACTTGGTTAATCGCGTGCCCGAATAGCTCAGTTGTAACGTCGTCCCTCCTGATTGCACCACTTAGCGATCCGGGTTCGAATCTCAGAAGGGAAATGAGTTGAATAAAGCAAGAACAACAGTTTTTGCAGAAAGAAACAGTTATCAGTCTTTCTTTGCCCTGGTAACTGGATATTTTCATCACTCTTTCATCTGAATACGTAATGCCGAAAGTTTCCATTGTGTATGGTCATTATTGTTAGGAATATATATATATATATATATACATATATATTACTGTATGCATATATTATTATAATTGTTCCCTTGGGTTCCTAGTGGAACGTAGGGCTTCAACTGCACGCCTCCACTTGTTTCTGTCTTCTGCTGTACTTTTCACTTGTATCCGTGTTAGTCTATACTGTTTCAACTCTTCTTCACAAGATCTCCTCCATGTCACCCTTGGAAGTCCCACTCGCCGCTTCCCTTTCGGGTTCCACTCGAGCGTTGGCCTGACGCGCAATATCACCCAGCGGCCTCCTCAGCGAGTGTCCAATCCATCTCCACTTTCTCCTGCATATTTGTTGGGCGATTGGTTCTTGTTTTGTCTGTTCCCATAGTTTCTTGTTGGTGATTCTTTCCGGCCATCTGATCTTGAGTATAGAACGAAGACAGCTGTTGTTAAAGGTCTGCAACAGGCTGTTGGAAATATTCTTTGTGACCCGCCAAGTTTCTGATCCGTATAGAAGAACTGATATTGATTGATTAATTTTTGTTTAAAACGAACTCTGTGCAAGTATGTTAAAATTGTTTCTGTAGGTTTCTTTAATAGTGACTTTAGCCTGTAAGCAGCTGATGAGAACGCAACGAAATAAATGCTGGTACCAATTTATTCTGCAAAAACTGTTGTTCTTGCTTTATTCAAATTCATTAAGGGAAATAAATGTAGGAAATGAGTTGCTTCAAGATTGTAGATATGCCTTGGTGTGACTGGTGAGTGCCAACACAAACACGAAACCTAGGTCCAGGGCTACCTGGCGATTGTTTCCAGCCATCTGATTACAATTCCTGAACTATATGTCAGAATAAAATATACCCTTCGGGAATACCATTTAGATACTGAATATGTTCTGTCTTCAGATAATTGAGGTCGATAATAATAATAATAATAATACGAGGGACCACAATACTTTTTCTCTGGTATCTGTTGTTAAGTAATGACGTGATACTTATCCGATAATTGATATTCTATCTTCTGTTCACTATCTAATTCGTAATTTACATTTGGGAATGCTTTACACGATTTTTAAAAATTTCAGAATCCATAATTATTATTATTTTTCAGAACAGTGTGTTTTAACAGATGTTATAGACTTGAAAAATACACTCTTATAAATTCATATTTCTTGGATAAAATTATAAATCACTTGTTTTTAAGTCTATACTTAATTGTATGTTTTCACTTCATCTGACTAGTCTGGGGCAGCATTATTTTGTATTTGTCTAGTGAAAAGTGCACAAGGATTATTTTGGCATTCATGTTTAGCAATCTCTTATACGTCATCATATATATATTATATATATATATTATATACATGCAAGTAACACGATTAGTAAAGGCTTTTGATGTTGTCACATAGTAAATAAACACGAAACTAAGTCTATTTTTTCACGTTTGCTGTTGTTGTGAATGATCCTACAATGAATTTGTCTATGAATAACTCTAAAATTTTCTCAATTTTTACCTTGTTTTTAAAATTTTCTCAAGTGTACAATTCAAGCAGTCGATTATAATGGTCGGCCTCAGTTGAACAGTGGAACCGATCCTATCGAAGTTACTTTCACAGATTCACGAGGACATTTAGTCCCAACAGACTTAGTGGATATAGGAAATGGTTGTTATGAGCTAAGTATGGTTGCTTCGTCTTCAGGAGCTCACAAATTATCTGTACAAATTCTCAATAGGCCTATTCGTGGTTCACCTTTCAGTCTTCATGTAAAAGCAGCACAGAAACGTATTTGGACTTTAAAAGAAGGTAGGCAATTTTTCATATACATTTCTTCTTTTTATTTTACTCTACTTTGATTCTTTTCAAGAATCCCAAATCAAATTTACTTGGTGTAGTTATTTCTTAATTGCTGTCATAACTCAGCTAGGGATCTAACCCAGAACCCTTTGACTGACTACAAGGCGAATTCGTTGATCATTCAGTCACTAGGAGTGTGTCGACTTCCGGTCGATGCACTCTCAAACCTCGCTTAGCTGGTAATAAAACTGATATGGAGGGAAAGTTGGGCATAGGGCTAGTACCCCCCCCCCCCCCCCGTAAAAACAACACCACGTCCACGGGAACTTCAAAGCTTGACACCGTATATTCCACTCGGAACCACAAATGAATGAAAGAATTTCTTACTGCTATCTATAAGATGTGAATTGATATCAAATAATCTTGTTATTACTATTCCTTTTTACTCTTTGCTTAGATTTTCCAGTTCAATTCTTACTGACTGACTGACTTCTTTTCAGAGTAGTATAATTCACTTTTTACTGCAAGCACATTTAACGATGCATAGTGGAGGTCTCATTTCTACTGTGAAAGGAATTTTATTTGTTTTGACTGATGATGATTAAGCAATGATGAATTATGTCTAATTGTTGTTGTTCAAGCACACAATTTTTGAAAACAAATGTCTTCTTTCATAATATTATATTTTGTAAATCGATTTTTTTCTCTCTAGTAACTATTTCAGTTTTTAGAATTTCAGAATTTAGAAAAAAAAGTTACTTCTTATCTAGATTTGTTCTTTCATAAAGCTTAGAGCCACTTCTCTCTTTTTTCTAACATATAATACATAGTCATTCCAAGTAAATGAACAGATAAGTAAATCAGCGTTTATATAACTATTATCTGTTCACGCTCATTTGTCACTGTACTGCACTGTACTATATTTGATGGCGAGTTATGGTTTACTAGACGTGGGATTCTACTTTTAGTCATTGGTCAGTAGTAAGTTTAAATCTCAGCCCCACTCACTTAAAGTTTGTACAACTAGAAAGTGTCACTGGTCTTGCTTTGCACGTGAACCTGATTGTGGCTGCTGAATTTCTTTTTATTCTAAGTAATCGGTGGGGGTAGGTGGGTAGTAAGTCATTTGATGGATTTGTAAGGCTTCATAAATTGATTGATTGTTAACTTGAGTTTTGTGGCAATTTTTCGGTCACTTGATTATATTGTCTTCCAGCATAGAAACTCGCATAGTTCACAGCTGACAAATACAAAGAAGAAAACAAAAAAGGAGTCACACTTTAATGGAAAAAGTCAACTAAATGGCTATATAATATGTTTTAGAAGCTATGATTGAAAGGTGATAGATGTGCTACGGATACTTTCATACTTTATCTTCATCCGGCAGGGTTGTTCCTCGCAAAAGTAGAAGAGTGAATGCAAACGTCTGGCGCTTACAACTGGATTGGTGAACATACTGACCTGCCTAGGGGATCTGTGAAATCCTGATTCCAAACCTGTGGTGTATATGGGCTCCAGAATCCGAAGGGATCGACTAGCGTATATATACTTATTTTGGTCACGAGTAACCATTGGAACGTTTATTTATTTATTTATTTAAACGCATTAAAACTTGGTACAATATGGCACCAAGAAGGATGCGCCACACAATAATAATAAAACAACATAGATGAAAAAAAGGAAGGCAGGAAAAGAAAAAATATATATAAGTAGAGAACGAATAATGAACTTCATCTGGAAGGAAAACACTCATTCTTAACAGGTTCAAACAGTGTTCGTTAACTATCATCGGGAATGGAAGAAAGAAGGAAATCGCAACACATTCGCCATTGATTACGATTCTTGGCCATATCCGATAACGTTTCGAGCCATCGATTTGAGCTATCTCTCAGACCCCAACCAGGGAGTCGTGACACACCAACCGATGCTAATCTAGCACAAATATCCTTCATCCCACGACGCCACGTCATGGGCTGACCACCTCTCCGCCTTTTCCAGCCCGTCCCAGAGCTAGCGAACAGAGACCTGTACGGAAGCCTCTGGGGTGACATTCGCAGCACATGCCCAAGCCACCGGAGCCGGTGTTTCCAGATGACGACATTCAATGAATGGTGATCTCCACTGTGTTCAAACACACGCCGCCGAACCTCAGAATTACTCACGCGATGATGCCATCGAACGCAAGCAATCCTGCGGAGACAGCGGTGATCGAACACGCAGAGTCGCCTCACATCCTCAGCTCGGAGAGGCCAGGTTTCACAGGCGTAGAGCAGCGCAGCCCGCACCGAAGCATTGTATACCCGACCTTTGACAGCCAGGCTAACGTCGCGACGGCGCCAGAGGTGGCTCAAGTTGATGTATGCCACCCTAGCTTTCATTATACGGTTGGAAATCTCATCCGTCACCCCTCCGCCAGCACTCACACAACTACCTAGGTACACAAACTTATCGACAACTTCAAGCGGTTCACCCGCAAGAGTGAGTGCAGGTACAGGCTCCTGCCAATCTTGTAACAGTACTTTGCACTTAGACGGCGCAAAGCACATACCATACTTACAGACACTGATCGCCAACTGATTAAGTGCGATTTGGGCAGCCTGCATGCTATCGCACAGTAAGACGATATCGTCTGCATACTCGAGGTCGAAAAGTCTATCTCCAGGTAGCAGATCTACACCACCTTCACGCACATCCTTCAGAGCTGACTCCATTGGAACGTAGCCCCTGACACTACTTCATTGCTTTGCGGACCGGACTTAAAGTCAAAGGCTAGGAGGTGACCTCTGGGTCTCGGTGTCCGGACGGTATCTCAGCCCTTGCACAAACTATACGATTTTGTGTGGCGCATCTCTTACTGTTTTAATAATAATAAAACAGTGTACTGTTGTGAACTATGTTATAATTTTTACTGATGTGTCTACACTTTGAGTAGAATGAACAATTTCTTGAAAAAAAACAACCTAATATTCAGCCAAAAGCTAAACAACAAATATACTTCACTTTCATTTGTCATAAAAAAAATAATGACACGTATTCATGAATTTTCATTTCTCGTTATTTTGCAACTGCTGTCCATCAATAGTGAACCCAGTTAGTACAGCTATTGGTTGTAATTCTGTTAGTTGATAGACGTGTAGATTCATCATTTTCTGCCTATTGTTGTTATAATTATTCATCATTTATTAGCTAACCAACCCTATTGACAGTTACAATTAGACATCAGAAATTTTCATTCATTCATTTCTTCAATCTTATCATGAATTCATAACATTTTAGTGAAAAATAATAATAATCCCTGGATTGTCTGTAATTGACTGTGCATTTTTTTCTTCACTAACTAGGCGTGCACTTTTGTTTATGTTTTTTGATAGATTGTTCTGCAAATAAATTGTCGGTAAAGTTTAAAAATAGAGAATAAAATGCACTGTCCTGGATAATAAATAGCTGTTATTTTGCACTGATGAGGATTGTCCTTCTTTTCTACTGATTTAAGTAATGACAGAAAAAGAGGAGAAAGAAGAATAGGTTTAAAGACACAAAAATGTTTAAACTGAATGTAACACTTAGTATTTTTGTGTTCATTTAGATCACGGTAGTACACTTTCATGGTTTATTGTTGTTTTTGTTAAATATACATTCAGCCCTTTCTTTCTGCATATTTCAATTATATTCCACTTTTCCATTCCTTATCGTTCCGAGCGTAACACTGGGATTCAAGCTCGAGCTTTGAAGTTTGAGTAGCGGTAATGATGTTTTTTAACAGAGAGTGGGGTTACTAGCCTCACACCCAATCTTCCCTCTTTACTAGGTCTAAGCGGGACGTAGGATTGCGTTGACCGGGTATCGAACTCCGGGCTACACGTGCGTGATTATCTAGCACTCTACTACTACTTTGGATATATATATAGGATGTACCCGGTTACATTTTGATATAAGTATTTATGTTTCTTAATGAATCACTTGATTTACGTCTACATTTCTTCTCATAATTGCACTTGATGGTTGCTCTTGTCCAACCGTGTTCTGGGTACATATTCATGCTTGGTGTTTCGATTAGTATTCTAAGGTTTTTATAAGAAGTATAATTTGTAGTGCCAGTTGAAAGTTGGTTAATGACAGCAATATTGATGATGAAAATGTCAAGGGTGGAATGCCAAAAAACAAACCATACTGTTTTGTAGCTAACTACTAACGCAGTTATTTTGTTATAGGGTAAAAACAAACCTTGTTTCTTTCTAAATAAATGAATACCATTTTAGTTAGAACTAGTGGTTGTTGAACCTAATACACAGTAAAATGAAATAAATTTCTTTTAAGCATACAGTACTGATTATTGCATTTACTAGCTACTGAAATACAGTCTTATCCTCTATTATCTTTGACTTATCAATAGAGCCAAGTCAATTTAAATTTTTGCGTTAACTGATCACATCGAAATGTTTAGCCTTTGTTCACATGTCGGTTACTAGTATAAACACTTTGATGATATCTGACATGTCAGCAGAAGCCAAAACATTTCGATCTAATCAATCAACGGGGAAATGAAAATTAACTTAAACAAATGATAACTCAAGTATTGGTTTGTAGGGATTTAGTTGATTGGTTACAGGATTTCATCATTAGCTGACATTGGTTAGAGAACCATTGGAAAACCTGGGAGTACTGGACAGCTGTTTCGTCCTAGTTTGGAACTCTTCAGTAGTACGCACCCACCAGGGTTCGAACCCAGGACCTTCTGGTTATAAGGCGAGCTCGCATACCATTAAGCCACTGGGACCCGATCCAATGGCCCATGAATTCTAACTTGTGCCAATTCACGATATAGCGCAACCGCTAGCCAATGTCTTCGGCGAGTATTTGTCCTCACACCCAACCTGCTGCACCCTACTGGTCACGACTTTCCACTGTAACCCCAGTGGGAACCCTCCAGTTAGAATTCATGGGCCATTGGATCGGGTCCCAGTGGCTTAATGGCATGCGGGCTCGCCTTATGACCAGAAGGTCCTGGGTTCGAACCCTGGTGGGTGCGTACTGATGAAGAGTCCCAAACTAGGACGAAACAGCTGTCCAGTACCCCCAGGTTTTCCAGTGGTTCTCTAACCAATGTCAGCTCATGATGAAATCCTGTAACCAAATGATAATTACTACCCGTTGCACAAAAGGTGAACTCTCTTTGTCCAAGTAGCTTAGTGGTAGGTGACGTCGTTTTGGCTTTTGAAACATCAGGTGTTGAGTTCGAATCTCAATGGGAACACCACCACTCACTAAAGGATTGCAGGTACATTCAGATGATGAGTCCCAAATAGGACGAAATGTGCATCTTAGATCCACCAAATCATCTGATTTTATCGAACTTGACACTCATCAAATGGGTCATCAATGCATAACAGAACCTGTTCTCTAGGCTTTTTTTAACTCATATAATATAAACTAAATACCGCTACTATTACAATTTACAGATCATATTTTACCAACTATGAAACATAACGAAAACAATTAATTTAGTATATAATACCATGGATGTGTTGACTCTGTAAATAAATATATAATCAATACTCTTTGTGATCTAACAACTGGACATTTTAAAAATGATAGCTAAATTTCCATGTTGTCTTTGTTATCACATTATGCATGAGTGTATAGATGATGCTTCAGTGTTATAGATATTGGACACTTTTGTTGTACACAAGTGATAATAAAGACTTATTTGTAAATAAATAAATAAATAAATGTTTTGTGTACTGTGATGCCATGTGTTGATTCCCTGTTGACCATATAAAAGTAGTTTTCAATTTCTTGAATACATTTAGTCAATATAAATATTTACGATAATAGCTCAGGATGGATGGAAATGATAATTCTTTAATGTTTTCTAAGCTTTGATGTTTTATTGTTAACTTTTCACCACCACCACCACACTGGTTGACTTGATTAAGCGAGTAAAGAAGTTGTAATCTATTGTATATTAGTATAGTATAATGGGATGTCCTGTTCATAGAACGTGGCGTTTCATTTAGTTGACTGTCCTTCTAGTGGTGGGCTGTTTCTAACACAAACAGCATACTCCATTTTAAGTTACTTGTATGTAGCGATAACTGACTAACTGATGGTCAAAGCTATCCAGTGTTTTGCAAAGAGGATGCATCAGTTCAAGTTGTCACACATGAGCAAAGTGAGGAGATATTATATAACAACATTTTTTTTGAATCCACGCACTAATATATTACAGTGTTAAGAGATGACGTAATACTACATTTGTGTTTCTTAATTTTTCTTTTTTTGGTTCACAAAAAGGTTCCGATGGTCGTGGTTTGATTCAACCGTTTGCTGTGGCATTTGGACCTTATCCTGTAAATATATCTGAAGAATCTTCAGATGTCATGCCCAATGATCCACCAACACCTGTTAATTTCATTTATGTTTTGGATACAGGAAATAGTCGTCTATTGGTGTTGAATCCTGAAGATGGCTCTCTGCATGCCACTGTGACCGGTGAGCCTTTATCTGGTCAAGCTGCAACTGGTATGGTATGGTCACCTCAAGGTTTATGGATTGTTAATTGGCGGGCTAAACAGCTGTTCTTATTGGATCCATCTACAGAACAGGTGAGGGGATTAGTTGTTAAATTTGAATTATTTGTTGGGGGTTAATGACTTGTTGTTCGTCATCATTACAACTTGTGGAGGAATTAAACTTTTAATGTGACATTCCGTGTTGATTGATGCCTACTATAATAGGTAACGTAAGTAGGTTCTACTGTGGGAAATATCTAAATTTTTTAGTTTACTTGGTGTAATTATTAGTAATGTTCATATATAAAGTTGAGAAGTTTGCTAAACATTGAATTCCTTATCCGGAGCCACATATATAAACGCTCCTCACCCCACTAGGTTGTACTCAGATATATAAGTATCCTTTTATGACATTTTTAAGATGTTTAGAGGTGCATATCATTATTGTTACAGAAAACATTCTTCTAACATTGTAGTGTAATCGGTATTGGTTTTGAATTTTAGGTGTATTTATTTTTCTACAAGACTCTCAGACGGATCACTCAAGGTGTACCAAAAAAACATGTAGGAAATCGCTTTACTTGTCGAGTCTTGTTCACTTTTTCAGTTACACATTTACACAAGGATTTGAGCTGAATGAAAATCAATGAAAAAAGAAGCTGTAGTAAAAGCCTGATTTCGCCCTACTCACTTCGTCGTGATTGAAAGTTATAATTCCTGTGCTTAAGAGTTTTTTTCTGACGATGAGTTTACACACACTTTAAATATTTCAGTTTTAAAGTTACATAACTGCTGAATATATATATTTCTCCTCTATGGCTGTGAGACCTGGCCATTGAGAGTGGAAGACATGAAAAGATTAGCTGTCTTTGATCATAGGTGCCTGCGTTCTATCTCCCGTGTGAAGTGGTATAATAAGGTGAGCAATATTGAGGTTAGGCCTCGGTCGAGTGCTAGGTAAGGAGGGGGAAATCAATAGACGAGGCTGTGAAATTACATCGACTGAGATGGTTAGTACATGTGTTACGTATGCTGTCTAGTCATCGCCTTCCTCGATGGGCAATGTTAGCTGACATAGGGTCAGGCTGGAAAAGAGCTAGCGGCGGTCAAACGAAAACATGGCACCAGTCAATGAAATCTACAACAGTTAGTTTAAGCCACGTAGGAAGGTGTAGACTTCCTGGTTGGGGTCCTCGGGACGGTAAAAACCAATAGTTGGAAACAATTGGTGACATGGCTCAAAATCGTTCTCAATGGCTGGCGCAGATGCATCCACTCCTTGTGACTTATGATTTCCAATGAAACTGTTTTGTTCTTCGTTATTACTATTCCTTTGTCTCACACCAATGTTTACTGTCTATATTATGCATTTCTCCTACTTTCTTCTCTTGCTTTGTGTGCTACATGGAGTGTGGCGACTCGAACTGCCGCACATATGTGCAAAGTTCTATGTCGAAAACAGACAGACAGACCTCTTGATATCCGATTTACGCCTATATTTTCATGACATGTAAAAATGCCATGTTTATTTAAAAAAAGTCAACAACGTGTTGTTCCAGAGAGAATCAAGGAAACAGTCCTAATCTTCAATATTATCAACTCGAATAGAAACGAACAGCTTTATGTTTATGTCTTTATTGCTGTGAAGTAAATAGTTGCTTAGCCTGGTCTGTAATGCTGATTGAAGTATACTGGTGAAAAGATAATTTCGCTACTTCCTTGCAGCTGAGGCTGAAACGTAACACTGACACATAAAGCAACTGACTGTCTTTTTGAGCAATGCAGCTTGGTGTAAGTTGCTTGACTAGAGTCCTGAAAGCGCTGAGCATCAATTGCTAAAGACTTTTGGTGATGTGGTTCAAAATCGTTCACATTTATGCAGATGCATTTAATGTTTGTCATCTTGGAAATTGTAAGTAATATACACCATTGTCTCTTTGTCCTTCACACTTTCCTTGGTATTATCATTTCATTCGTGTTCTCATCTTTACTGTCTGCCTTGTGAGTCAACTTGAATCAATGTGATTTTATGCGAATTCTACATTGATTCTCCAGTTAGACAGGCAGTTAATATTGCTTCTGTTATAACTGCACTGAACTGAATGAGAACTGTAGTCACTTTATTCTGTCTGCGCCTGCCTAATATGCCTATTTGCCTGTGGTACCTTCCGATTCACTGAGCCACGCAAATATCAAGTCACAGGCTGGCCTGTGACTGTATATTGTAATCACAACATGTGTGAGAGATGATAATATATTATTTTATGCGGGATCCTATCACCTCCCGCCGTAAAAAGTGTAGGACTGTCTTTTGAATCTGCTTGGAGAAGTTTTATGCGGGATCCCATCAGCTTCCAAGATTGTATCTTAGTAAACTACTGAGTAGACTAAAGTTCAAGATTACTTCAGTGTTGCTTCGTTGTATCGCATGTAGCTTATTGTCTTTTGGATAAAATTAAGTTTTGTTACTCATGAAACTTCAAAATAATCTTCAATATTTTATCGTTTCCCATCACAAAAAGGAATATGGAAAATCGGCTCAACTAAAATGGCAACCCATTCTTTCTATTATATTATAAACACCTTACACTTTCACTACACAACTTATGAACTACTTTTATTGTGTTATGGCGTTGTTTACGCCAAACTGTCCTAATTACTTTGAAAAATGTTTTGTAAATTGACTTAATATTTTTTTCTTCATAATTCTATTCCTCTAGATACTTTCGTGTGTATCAAGTAATCTATTCAAAGAACCAACTAGTGTTACAAGATGTCCTTTAACCAATCGTCTTTTTGTTGCTGATAACGGTGCAGGTTGTATTTTTGTATGTGATCCAGAAACAGGTGCTGTGAAGGTTTTCATTGCAACAAATACTGCACCTACCTCTCCTGGTAGTAATACAAGTACACCAACTAGACAGGGTACTTTGAGTCGGATGGAGACTGGTTCTCATGCACCTCAACCAAGAACTTGTAAATTAATAACTGGCTTGTGTGTAGCAGATTCTGGTGAATTGATTTTGTCTACTGGAACTTGTATCCGAGTATGTTTTTTGTGTAATATTTTTGATTTCACTTATACATATATATATATATATATAATTGTTTAGGAAAGTATTTATGTATGTGCATTGTAAGAGAGTTCACCTTAAAGACAATAAGTCACATTTAACATATAGTCTGTAATACTAGTTCAAAACCTCTAGTCATAAACAATTTATAAACTAATGGCTTCAGTAGTTCTCTTTGCTTATAGTAAATTGGCTAGTAGTACTTACTGTGTTTCTCTAAAACGTTAGTAATGTAACTGAACACATTTCAGTGACGCATTATAATTGGTATTAATTAGAGGCGTATGGAGATCACTCTCAATTTACTCCATTTCAAGTACTACACAAATTGGAAAGATTTAAACCACCTTTCAATTGATCTGTGAATGTAGCGATTAGTCTTTCACTACTGAGACGACCTAAGTTGTCTAACGCGCATAGCTTAAGATCACTAGCCCCATATAGTTGCAGAAAGGTAGCAGTGGTTCTATAATAAGTACGATAATCGAACACCTTGTCAACACTGGTCATTCCACCCCAAAAAATACCTTCTTCTAAGTAATATACAAAGTGATAAGGCGATACACTTTCGTCTCCTTTCCATTGATGAAGCTCTAGCCATTCAGTCAGAGAAACCAGAGCTATGCATACGAAAGACAATTATTCGACCATTTCTGCTATCATGGTCACAACCTTGTTGACTTCCACTGACTTTTGTTTGTTTGTCTTTCTAACTCTTGTATTTCTATAGTACTCCTACGTAGTTCCATATTTTCCTTCGTTTCTATATGCATTCTGATTACAACTCATTCATTAAATTACTCATCTTATGACGTAACTCTGATAAACGTGTTCACTCCTCTTACGCATTGATATTAACAACTATGACTGTGAAAACTCATCACTTTTGTTACTACCCTCTTTCATGGAAAATTATATATAAATACGATTGTATAGCTAGAGAAAATGAATTTACCGAAAAAAGCTTCTTAGCTAAACTGCGTGTTTTGTTTTCATTAATGTCTGAATGGGGAGTATTCATGAGTTGGAAAGTAACGCATAGTCACTGTACCTTCGTAGATATATGGCTAGTCCTAGAATAAAGTGCTTGTGTATTTCTTAAAGTCTTTATCAACTTGTATATCCAGTTTTCAGACATCACTTCAAAAGCGCATTTTAAATTATTGTAATTTTGTTTTCATTTGACTTTAGATATTTTCATCAGAAGGACGTTTCCTTGCTGATCTTTTGCCTCCAAGTCAACCAAATGAAGATATTCCTCGTACTCGTATGTCAGCATTACCATCCAGAGCTTCATTAGATGTTTCCTATTTCAATGCAACACAAGTTTCACACGATAATCCAGATGGTGAAAGTGTTGTAAATCCTGATCGTTATAGTCTCTCTGAGCTTCGACCATCAAGTGCTTCTGCTATGTCACGACTCCCGTCTTCACGTGGTCAATTTGGCGGTGTAACATTTGGTGTAGTATCATCATCGGATTCTGGCAACAATTCAACTGACAAATTAGGAAAATGCATATTGGCAAGTTATTCAGACAGAAAACGTTCTGGTGTTGTTGTCTGGTCAGAGTTGTTTTGGACATCCAGTTGTCAACAATTCATTAAAGAAGTTGACGATGACACAACCTCTTCAAACACTGTTATCAACACTCAGCACAATGATATGCCGAATAGTAACAATAACAATCCTACCAGTAGTAATAGTACTAGTAGCAGCGGTAATCGTCTCACTACACTAGATACAAATATACCTACACATACTTGTGCAATATACTGTCCGTTGAATAGAAGTAGATTTCTTTTCAAACCATATTTAATTGAAGTAGATCCATCATTTCGTCGATTAGCTGGTTTAGTCCCCGTATCAAATTGTAGAGATGTGATTGTTGTTGATCAAGGTGCTCAAAATATTTCTCGAATTCATTATGCCTAAGCATCATTCATATTTTTTTGTTGTAATTAATTGTGTGTTGTTGTTGTTCTGCATTTTCTATGGAATAAATAAGTAACAATTTAATGATAACTTTTTTTTGTGATATAAAATTTACTCATAGATTTCTTTATTATTATTTCACCTTTCTTCGATTTGTATGGTATTCCTTCAACAGCTTAACTGATGCGTGTACACTTTGTGCGTGCGTGTGTGTGTGTATTATCCTCACATCTTTTTTCTGGTTGAAGAACTATGCGTTACGTTATTGGTTTCTTTTTGTTAAAGAGGAGAACTTTCTAAACATGATGTATTATTATTATATCATCTCTAGATAATTGCATATAAATCTATATATAGTTTTATTAGTGTGCATGACTGTGTGTATATGCCCATGTACATATAGGATAACAGTTGTTTCGGCACTCCTCATCCATCTTTTTTTCCCTGTTCTTTTCTCTATTCTATTTTCATTTCTTTTACTCATAATTGAAATAGTTTTCCTGTTAAGCGTATTTTTCTTCTGCTACACAGCTGCATATTTGTGGATACTTTCACCCATATCTAATCTATTGAAAACAAACAAACGAACAACTGAAGAATAAAATGAACTTTTTATTGCATTTTCAAAATAAACAAACAAAAAAACAATAACTGAAATTGTAGCATTATACTAGGAATAAATAAAGAGTATGTGATAATAATTATAGAAATAGTAGGCAGTAGTCGTAATAGAGTAAGTAGTAGATACAGTTAATGGGGTAATAGAAATATCCTTTAACTGTTGTAATCCTTTAGTCTTCGTTTATTGTTCCTTCTTCTTCTCTTCTGAGAGTCCTAATTCACTCACTCACTGACCTGACGCATGCGCATATAAAGTCAGATTTCATTTCTTCTTATAATTTGTTTATCTCTGTGTAAGTGAGTAGTAGTTCTATTGTCATTAGTAGTCTCAACTAATCAGTCACATCTTCAGACATGTGTAATTATATTTCATTTAGAGTTTAGTTCCATCTATGCTGTTAAAAAGCTTTTTCTGTGTTTTTCTGTATGACTGAATATATATACATAGTTATCGTTTATGTTTCCTCTCTTCAGACAGTCATGTGTTGAATGGAATTATTTGTACCGAAAAATAATGTATTCATTAGTTCTAGATTTAATGGCGAGAAAAGAAAGATGAAGACAGTTTTCCCTTTTTTCTTTCCTCTTGTGTTCACATGTTAACTTTTCTGTTTACTACTTGTTTCCCAATCTCATATTGACGCTTACACAGCTGTTTTGTAGTACGTACTATATATATATAGAGAAAGAATTTTATGATGCATTTTTATATTATAAATAATTACCTATTTAACTATTTATTATCTTGGCGTTGGAGGATTTATACATGTATTTCCATTTGAATATTTATTCACTTGTTTTCGTTTTTTTCTTCTTTTTTTTGTCATTTTGTTCTTATGCCCAATTTATTAAATAATTTCATTACAAAAAAAACAAGTTTCTTATAAAGTTAAGTATAAATAAATATATTTATATAAATAGTATGCAGTTGTTTTACGTTTTTGTAAATTCCATATATTGTTTAGTACTCTTAATGGCATCGTACAGATACTGTTTGTTATCGAAGGTTTTTTGAAGTAAACTATTTAGAATGTTTGTGCACTTTACACTCTGTTTGTTTGTGTTTGTGCGTGCGCAGGTGTGTGATATCCGGCTATCGACCAAAAGATGTGTATGCTGCACAGCAGTTCTCTTTGTCCTTCTGTATAACTGTGGGGTATGTTCATTGAAAGTGCAGGCTAGCTGTCTTTTGACCATAGATGTTCACTTTCTATCTCCTGTGTTAAGTGGTATAATATGGTGAGTAATATATTTAAGTTGGGAGGGTAAGTCAATCGATGAGGTTGGGGGGATGAATCGATCGACAAGTGTTGCTCATGACGAGCCATCTCCTTCCTCGATGGGTAATATTAACTGACATATACCCAATGCCCAAATTTTTTCAAACTGTTAAAAGTGAACTTGCTTTGGACATATATGACATTGAATCAGGTTGGAAAAGAGTTAAGGCTAATCAAATCAAAGCCTGGCATCAATCCATGAAATCTTTGACTGCTGGTTCAAGTCATCCACGTAGAGCGGTGTAGACTGTCTGGTGAGAATGCTGAGAAGCAACGGTCTGAGACTGTTTAAGATACGGCTCAAAATCGTTCTCAATGGTGCAGATGCATTCACTCTTTTTAAACTCTCAGATACATTAATTTCTCATGCGTTTCCATGTTGTTATTCTTCCTACCGTACATTTGTGCTCGTTGTGATTTGTCTTGGATTTTTGTTTTCTTTACCTGTACATGGAGTGTAACAACTTGAAATGCTGCTTTTCTGTGCAGTGTTCTTTCCTGCATCTCAGTCAGTCACATGTGTACAGTACAGCAATGCGACTTCTTTTATCTAATGACTCACTGTATTTCACTGGTAGCAATTCTTTGAGTCCTAATGAAATAAGAAATATGAAGTGCAGGTAGACATAATTTAAGAGGTCTTGTTCTTTCACGATTTGTTCTTTTTAATGTACAGATGAACCTCACTATATTCAAATGGTCTTCTGGTCACCTTATTGATTTCAAAGTCATAAGGTTGTTATTATATTTGGGACCTCAATGTCAGTCATCAGATGAGTAGATTCTAGGATTCTTGTTGTTCATTAGAAGTCGTACATATTGTCATATTGAACATAAAACCTGTATATAAATAACCGAATTAATTTAAGCCGTTTCAATAATATTTCCTTTCTATTTCGGTCCTCCGTAAAGCTCAGTACCATTCGAATGACCAATTACTTATCGTCATGCACTAATGTATAGGTGAATTTATTGCAGTGGTTTATTTATCTGTAGATCCATCGCATAACAGGATTCTCAAGTATTCTCCTGTTATCTCACAAGATAGACATTGAGAAACTGATAAATTCATATGCAGACTGACTGAACTCGTACAGGCTGAATTTGTCAGCGATCATACCACTTTGGAAACATCATCTCTCTTTGGATCACCGTAGTTTAGCGACATCGGGTCTGGTAATTACTTGCATGGGTGTCAGGTTGTAGATATCAGATGCTGGCGTCTTTTGTGCGCTTGTAGTTCAGTGATAAAATGATCTCCAGTCATGACGCATAATGTCCGGGTTCGATTCCCCGCCAACACGCTTCTAAACGTTGTCTAGTTTACTAGTCGCTAGTAAGCCATAAAAATGGGAAGTTTGGACTTGAGGCCAGCAATCCCACCTCGTTAAAACAACAACGCTACTGAAACTTCAAGGTTTGAAGCTGAATTTTCCCACCCAGAAGTAAAAGAATGAGAAAAAGTATTGGTTTTGTAGGGATTTTGTTTGATTGGTTGGAGGATTTCATCATGAGCTGATATCAGCTAGAGAACCATTGGAAAACCTGCAGGAAGTACTGGACAGCTGTTTCGTCCTAGTTTGGGGCTCTTCATCTGTAAGGTTGGAAAATTTGAAACAGTTGTTGTACTTATAATTTGGTTTCCTTTCCCCACTAAATGCACATTTGGTATGACAGATTTCCTTTCTTTAAAAGAATATTTATAATAATTGGATATAATTTCTTGAAATATTTCCCTTCGATAAACTTTACTTAGTGTGAGTCTAAACAACGCAATGTAGAATACGCAGTTATAAATACTCTATTTTCTACTCACCGTCAAAATCTTATTTTATGCTTCATTTACTTTTTCAGTATGAGTCACTGTATGAATGATTGGCCTTTTTATACACGTGATCCCGTAATTATCTTATAGACAATATACAAATAGACAGTAATGATCTTATATCTGTGTTAATTATGACAATTTTATCTTTAATGAATTCTTAAGATCATTTTCAAATTTAAATGTAAAAGACATTTTTTAACAAAATGAATTCTTATCGTATGCAGAGTTCAAAAGTCAGGCATAATCAATAGTCAATCATTTTACTTAAATATTGCTTAATTAAGATGGTATTCTAGACGTATCGTTCACTAAGGAAGGTATTTTCCACTCTATGTATCCTTGCAAAACATCGATCGCTTAATTGTTCTGTCGTCCGTCCTGCCTAGTCATTGAAATATCCAGGAAACCCAATTTGTTATTCAATTTCAATTCGGATGCCACTGGAATATTAGAATGAATAAGACTAAATAAAGTTATTTGAGGTGGTTGTGACTCTCAATGGAATCCAGGGTACTCATTCTGTCTTATTTGGGATTCGTCAGCTGTATGTGCTTAATGGTCACCAGCAACCGAAATAACTCCCCACCAATCCTTAGACTTCGTTGAAGAGTCCAAGGAGTACAAGGAGCTGACATATCAACAGAAACCGAACATTTCGATGCTGCATAATCAATTAACTGCAAATGAAAAATTAACCAGAAAACTAATAAGATTAAATAAAGTTTGTTATTAAACTAATTTCATTAATTTTACCAGAACAGCTGCCTACTGTAATTCTACCATCAATTTTCGTAACAATAATACTATTCCTTGAATTAGATTGGAAAACTTGGCAATAATCATCAACTGCATCTCTTTTCAAATTTATTCATGTTCATACATGGGATAAATAGATTATTTTATTTATTTTTTTATATTTATATTGATTATAGCTTGACTCCACACAGTGTTTTTGACACAAGTATGAAATTTTCAGCATGTGATATCGGTAGCCCAAATTTCGCAGGCCGACCATTGATATCGGGTGTGCGTCGGTCTGGGATCGAACCCCGGCCCATGTGCATGGTCGGCGGGCGTCCTAACCGCTGTGCCACTGACGCACAAAGCGCTTCTGCGCCGGGAGTCGAACCCGGGCCGCCTGGGTGAAAGCCAGGAATCCTAACTGCTAGACTTTGAGATAAAATTTATTTAGCTTACCATTTCAATTAACTGTATGAATTCACTAAAGAAGTGATATAGTTTTATAAAAGTGAGATAATTTGAACTCATAA